ACTGCTGAATTCCTTTTGAATTTGAAGTTGCCAAAGTAAAAGTTGCATAATTTTGATTCTCAAAAGATGTGTGATATCCTACTATACTTAAACCTTGGTTTTAATTGATATTTACAGGGTAGATTCTAGTTTTTCCATGTTTTGCTCAACTAGATTAAGAGTTAATATTTTATTTTGTATGCTTCTTGGCTTTAGAACTGGTGGCTTCATCATGGCAGAAGAATCAAGCAATTTTGAATGTTCAGAAGCACAATTGTGGTAACTATAATTTTTTTTGTCTCATTTGATGCAAATGATTCTTCTAACATGGCTTTTCTCATCTTCCAATTTTTTCTTCTGAGACTTTTTTTGAAGGGTCTTTACCCTGAAAGTCTTTAGGCAAGGAAAATATTGTTTAAATTTCGATTTGTTTTAGATGATGAATACCCCATCCCATGTCAGAAGAGTCAGGAGTAAATGGTTACTACACAGGAACTGGTATTTACTAGGAACCAAATTATTCCCTTTCATAGTCTTTAACCACTTTTCAAATCTTTCTTTGCTATGTAGAGGAAATCAGTTCAGCTTCCAGTCTTTGTTGTGGGTCTTATGGTAAAGCATTGTGCAATAGCTAGGCATCTCCCAGATAAAGACCTTTGGAAGATCTGACCTCTGAGGGGTGCTAGTGGGCACTCCTGGCTGAAGTGAGGCAGCAAGCAGGTGCAGGCAGGAGTGGAGTCATCAGGTCTTCACTAGGATCTTCCAAGCTTAAAGCCCTTGTTTAATGTGTTTTTATGATTATCTGGAGTTATGTTTTTAGGGGAGTAAGACTGCAAAAGTGAAATGCCATTTTCATCGTACCATATGAATGGTATGTACTGGAACACAACTTATCACTGTTGACACTAGTCTTGATCAACAGGTTGAGGTAGTGGTTTTCAGCTTTCTCTTCTGTGACACTGGGACCCCCACCTACCAGGCCAGTCCCACATTCCATACTATGCTTTTTGAAAGGGACTCATTATAAGTAGCCCACACCACAGAAATGGCTGTCATGCTCCACCTCCTGGAATATGGAGCGTCTATATAAATTATTTATAGTTATTCTTCACAGAAATGTAGTCCATTCTTCCCCATTTATTTGCCAATCATTTATATCAGTGTGCATTCATAGATATTTTGTATTGTGAACTATACTCCAATACTGTTGTATTAATTTTGTTGCTCAAATTGTTCTAGCTTTGTCCATTGGAGCTCTTTCAATTGGTTGTTCTGTCCATTTTATATATCCTCATCACTGTGAAATTTTTAGTAGGGGAGAATATTTTTACTTTTGCACTGTAAGACTCTCCAATGTCATCTTGTATATTTCTGGCTTAGTCCTACATTCAGATGTTTCTCTAAGAGGCCCTCATTCCTTTTATTGGAGAATATTAGAAACTAATGTTGGGATGCTAGGTGTGCTCATTTTTATAGGGATGTGTTGCTTCTGGGCTTTCCCAGATGGATGAGCAAGGGAATATAGGTGTGTGTATTAGGATTCAAATGATTTTCTCTTTCTTTTACCTAGTCCTTCCCTGTTGATGCAATTTTTAGAAACTTTCTTCATACTTGCAAGGTGGCTATAGCAAACTCTGAACTTAAACCAGAGGGAGAGAATAGGAGTCTATTTTCCAGAATCCCCAACAAATTTCTACCAGCTGGAATTTGACATTTTTAAAAAAAAAAACATGTCAACTCCAGAAAATTTCACTGAGAAATGAATTGGGAATTCCATTTTAGAAATAAGATGTGCTTTTTAGTTAAGTCTGTATCATGGACTTTTCATCAGAGACACTGGATTGACCACTCTTTGAACCAAATGGGCAAAGAATATGGGATAAAGGAGTTTTAAATGGATGGTAGTGTAAAAGGAAAAATACGTACTGTATGCTTCAAAATTTGATAATTTAATACCATAATTATTACTACTTCTATGAATTCAGGAATTTTAAAAGTGGCTACCACTTACTGTGAACTTTTGGAAAAAAATAAGACAGCTTCTTTTATAAAAGATATATCAGTAAATGGTTTGGGCTCTATTATAGCAAATGAATGCCTATAACTTCTCAAAATTGAATACTACTTTAGTATATATTTGCATATGTGTATTCTTTGCTTTGAAAGTATAAATGCAGATAGTACATCCATTGTCAGATTCTTTTCTGGTTTTGCTTTTAAAAATAATTTCACTTTTGCATAAATGGAGCATTTAGACTCAGAGGATGCCGCAGTCTGGCTGGGCACAAATCAAATGGCTCGTGGCTCATGATTTGTGCCCAGCCAGACTGCGGCAAGAGGAGATAAAATTTGTCCTTTGTGATGTTTCATTTTTACTGTCTCCATTGGTTTCCTTATTTACCTCTTTCAGAAACAGACTTAAAAAGAAAGTAGAAAGGTTGCTGTTCATTCATCAAAATGTTAAGGCACTTTCTCCCCCCACCCCACCATTTAAAGAAGTTTGTAAAATATACTAAAAAGGAAAGACTATAGGATAAAAATGAATTATAATTCAAACCACTACTGTGATCTACATTTTTCTATTGTCCATTAATAAGGCCTTTACACCCCTTTCTAAATAAAGTAGCAATTAGCAGAATGAGAATTGTAGCATAAAATCTTTTTGTTTAAAGTTCATTCCTTACAAAGACATACAACTTCTAAGATAATAGCGATCACTGATTCTGTTTTCATTTGTTAAGATTTACAAAATAAAATGTTAAAGTTTCTTTTAATTAAAATTTTTAAAAGCATTGATGGTTAGGTCTCTAAAGTGTGTTGCAGACTGTAGTTTTGCCACAGATACCACAGATACTTGCCACAGATATTATCATCATTTTGTAACCTTTAAATTTGCAATCCATTATATGGACATAAACAGATTGGTAACTCAATTAAAACCTTAGTTATTTGGAATTTTTAGAGAAATAAACTCACAGGTTTACTTTTTTTGGAAGGTAGTTAGTGATACTTCTTAGAGTTACAAAACTTACTTTTAAGCCCTTTTGACAAGAATCTTTCCTACTTCTTCTCTGCCTTATGCAGTGGATACCAGTCATATTTTTTTATAACTATATTAAACTATTTACCTTTTAAATATACTAAATATTTCTAAATTATTTATATTTTATCTCAAAACTGCTCATATAAATTCCTTACAAATATAATATCCAGTTTGGGCTTGTCATATTCACTCAATATTTTTAGCATTTTTTTCCAATTACTTATTACATTTAACATATACCAGATATGTTAAATGTTTTTCACTTATTTCAGGTACTCTATATTTAGTAAGCTAGATATTTAAACCCACTGTTTTAGAGAATAGGAAACTAAGTCTTAGAGAGCTTAAGTTAATAAGGTAACACAGGAGGGCTAGTATACAAGTCTATCTGTAGAAGAAGACATACTACATCTAAGAATCAAGAAAAAGGAGCTGATGTAACAGACAAAATAAGTAAAAGTAAACATTAATTGTTCTGAGAGACCCTGCTTTGTAGCTCTCAGGTTTCTACATGTATTGCTGGGTGTGCCAAAAGCGCAAGGCCCAGACCACTCCTTACCCAGGTCATTTTTCAGGGCTGGATTTACAGGAAACAACCTTGAGAGTTGAGGTAATGCCTCACTTTGAAACAAAGAGCAGACTTTGTCTAAAAGCAGTGAATTTCCCAGTTTCAAAAAACTTCTCCTACATTTTCAGCTCCCTGTAATTGTTCCTTGCATTTAATGAACACTCAGGATATGTTGATGTGAGAACTCAATGACAAAGAGTAGGTTAGGTAAGAATAAATACTTTGCAACTCTCCACCTATCATGTGCAGTTGTGACTCTTGTTTATTCTAAAAACAAAACATAGCAAAAATCAATTAGATGTAATAGAAATAACTGCTATCTCTTAGTGTTACTATGTATAGTAAATTCTTAATGTTTTATGTTGTTTTAATCCTAACAACAACACATTGAGGTGGGTAATATTATCACCATTTTGTAAATGAGGGAACTGAAGCCTAGAAGCATTAAGTAGTGCATAGGACAGTATCCAAGGTTTCACGGAGAGTAAGTGGTGGAACCAGGTTCTGATTGGCAGTCTCTTTGGCTCCAACATCAAGGTTCTCAAATCACCTCCTTAGAAAGCTCCCACTACTTTTGGTAATAAATGAGAGCTTCATAGAGTCACTGTTTAACATTGATATTAAGAAATGTAGAATAAAGAAGAACCTGCAGAGGAAAAGTTCTTAAAAAATGCTTCTGATATATACACAGTATAAATTAAGACTCTGTCAGCAATAGAACTGCACATGATTGGGCAAAGAGCATCTATTATACTTTCTGTAGGGCCATGCATGTAGCTTTGTCTTATCAAAACCAATCAAATAGTACCCTAAGTCCCAGGGTTTGAAACCAAACTGAAAAATGGATGTCTAGATAAACGCATTAAAGAATGAAGAAAGGAACTGACTAAGGCAATCGCCCTCATTCTTGATTGCTGAGCGTCTGAGTACCGTCTGGTAGTTCTCCTGGGTCAACTTCTCAATTATGATTTCTAAAACTTTATTTTTTCTTCCAGGCATTGAGTATATTGAACTCTACATACATCTAAAATTCGGGCACTGATAATGGGCACATAAGAGCCAAGAGAAAGGCAATTTAGGGAAGAAAACGAAGTGAGAAGGAAATGATAGGGTCAAAGCGAAAGGAAACCCAGCTGTCTCAGTCAGAAGATGTAATCCAAGCCCACAGTTTCTAGCCTCTCATCCACTCCTGCAGCGGCTCGCTGAGTTCCGTGGTAACTAGGCAACGGCGTTACCCTAGTAACTGGGGAAGCGCACCCACGTGGTCAGCTTTCCTGTGCCCGGGACTGGCCCCGGGGAGTGCTGGGATCTCGCGAGAGCTGCGTGGGGCAGTCGGAAAGCGATCTCGCCCGCAGTTGCCCTTAGAGACGACAGTGGGCCCGCCAGGGGCGGAGGCCGGGAGCAGGGCTGATGGCTGCTCAGGCAGGCGCGCCCGACTCCCCTCTGCGGGACCTGGAAGAAGCTTTGGGCATGGGTTTGACGGCAGACGGGGACGTGGGGGATGCGGTGGCCGCCGAGGGCGCCTACTACTTGGAGCGTATCCTTCCCGTGTAGGCGTGGCCCTCAGCGCTCGGCTGTGGGGACGCGTGTTGAGGGTGAGGGGGAGTCTGTGGAGGCTGGGGTAACCCAGCAGGCCCAGAGGTTGTGGGACCTCAAGGTGGAGTCTTGCTACCGCGGTCTCCTAATAGCCATTCACTGTGTTTCTCCCTTTAGGAATGTTCCTCTTAGAAGAAGAGTTAGGAGACCTTCCAGGACCTCGAACTTAGCAACCACTCCATACGTGTTGGATAGAGGGTTGCTTTTTATGTTAAAGTGTCTCAACCCACCTTTCACTTAATGGGTTTCCTAAATAAATCCTCAAGCTTTTAGATAACTGTCACAATAAGTTAACTTGGGAAATGCCAAGAGAGTAGGGAAAGACTTCTGTCCTTGGGCTCTAATGAGCTGAAGCTCAGATTCTCTCACCCATGATCCTGTAGGTGGTCGGTTGTCTGTGCTTAAATGATTTATCTCAGTAGCATCACCTTTCTGAATTCTTTAAATTTTGGCTAAATAATAACTACTACTACAACAACAACAATAGCTATTTTCCTGTGCGACCAAAATTGAATAACCATATGTGGATAATTAGGTTCATTGTTTATTTTTAAGCCTTTAATAAGAGTTCCCTTCCTCTAGGTGTATAGGTTAATGGAACTGGATAGACTTGGAGGGTTTGTGGGAAAAATATATCTAACGCCTTTCTTTGGGCAAATAAGAGAGAAATGGGTATATAGTCTACTCCTAAAGGTATCAAACGCCAAAATCCCCTCCCCCCTTTTTTTGTCCAACTATCCCCCTGCTTTTAATTCAAGATGTTAGAGATCCAGCAATTATTTTTTTTTGTGGACTTTGGCAGGCCGATTAACCTGTCCTGACTCAGTCTCAGTACAAATCCACACTTTTAAGAAGCCATAAAGAATTTAGTGGAACGATTACAGAAAATATGTCATATTTTATTGGATGTAAAAATGATATTTACAGGAATATAAGTTTAAATGTTTCGAAATCCGTTGGAATGAAAGGTATGTGTGATTTAATGTCACAAAATTTTTTTCATAGCCCTAACAGTCTGTTTTTTTTCCAGTAATACTCCTTTCAAATTAAAAATGGTTCAGATTATTCTTTCTGAGCTTATCTATGTCAAGTATAGTTTTCCAATGTCCTTAACTAGCAATTCTTTCTGAGCTTATCTATGTCAAGTATAGTTTTCCAATGTCCTTAACTAGCAAACAACCACCAAGCATCTTGTCATATTTGTCTGCAGTAAAATAATTTCTATGAATATTTAGTTCTTAACATGAGAATACCACAATAAGATAAACTTTTTGCAGATATCTTTGTAAAATAGATGATAGGATTCCAATGTTATGAAATGATAGGATTCCAACAGTGAAAATCCAATTTACTTAATTTGCAGGGAGATCACTGAGTCACAGCTGCCAACATGTAGCAGTTTGCATACCTTGTCTTCTTCAAATAATCACATTAACACATAAATATAAGTAACTCAAACTTCAGAATTCTATTATCCAATTTGTGAATTATCTGGCTCATTTGCTTTTCTTCCATCTCTCTGGTTGACTGATTACTATTTTGTGTTTGAATCAGAAGTCAGTCAGGGGATAGCAAAGTTAAACATTTAAGCAGTCAGTTTTGCTCTATTCAATGTTCGGGGAAGAGGTTTAGTCATGGGAGAGGCTTTAACTTTTAGTTAAAATGAAATTTGAAGATTACTTGTGAATGCCAATTATCCTAGTATCCCTGGGCTCTCTTCACATGCATAATTAAGAGTTGACTGTATAATGTTATTTGACATTGTTTCTTAAGGCAATTATGATAGTTACCGAAGTGAGACTTTCTTGGGTTTAAAGACTTTAGCTCTTAGGTAATTTAATTGAGCTACTTCAGTGGATAAATAAAATTATAATATATTCAGATGAGTCAGAAATACAATGTCCTCCACTTTGCACATATACTTAATTGTGTAACCTACTGCATTTGGCCCTGGCCTTCCCTTATTTATAATTGAGCAGATGCTCCTAATATAGACAGTGAACAATCAATATTTAGTAAGGAAATTAATACAGCCCTTTTTTTTAATCTCCTAGCTGTATCAATGCCTCCTATTTCTTTTCTGAAGAGCTTCATAATATCATTGCTCTTATGTTTTAAACTTCAATAAGTTCATATACAAACATAAGCAACATAGTTCTCAGCTATCATTAAAGCTTTCAGAAATCCAGTTATGAAGCACACGAATCCTCTGTAGAACTCTTAATTGTGAAAATATCTGCAGCACTATAAATAGGAATGTAGAGGACTGAGTAGGTGTCTCCAGAACTTGGAAAGAAGGTAGGTTGTCTTTTGTGAATGAGTATTCTATTACAAACCAACGTTAAGTTGCCTGAGTATTTTAAAAATTGGGTTTTTTTAGTTGTAGATGGTCAAAATACCTTTATTTTATTTACTTATGTTTATGTGTTGCTGAGAATTGAATCCAGTGCCTCACACATGCTAGGTAAGTGCTATGCCACTGAGCTACAACTCCATCCCCTGGATTATAGGAGTGTCTGGGGGTTGGCTGCTTGTTAAGTTGTGACTGTGGCCATTTGGGAGTGCCCAATTCCAATTGGCAGAGGCAAGCTAGAATGAATTTTTACTAAGAAAGCTAAAGGTTAATTGGTTTTCTTGTTACTTGTCAAAGAAAGACCTTGTTAAGTAAGGAAAAGTAATGGAATGCATAGACCTTAGAAATATTGGAGCCCTCGAAGTATTTGTTACCTGTCTCCCTTTATGCATGCTCCTCCCCTAATTACCTTTTGCTTATTTCATCCTTCTATACCTACTAATAATTTGTTTTCTTAGACTGTGAATATAGTTTGCTGGCCACTGAAAAGGTTTCCTCCATTCCCATCAGGAATATCTCAAGTGAGGTTAAGCCAGTCTTTTGAGGCTAATCATCTATGGATGTAGTCCCAAGTCACCTGTTTCTGAAATTGCAAATTTAAAGATTTCAGATCCTGAAGTAGGAGATAGCCCTAGACTGGGCTGTGTTATCTCCCATATAGGATGCATATTTGTATTAAGTGAAATATTTAGTCTTTCACTGAAATAGTAATGTTCACTGATAACTTTAATTAAACTTTTTGTCATTTTTGCTTTTTATTATTATTGTTTTTGGCATTTATTTTTGCAGAAACAAGGATAACTGTAATTAAGTAAAGGGAACTAGAAACCTGAATGTTTCCCTCCCTTCCTTTATTATACCCTTAGATGAATTGTTCCTGGGCTGGGTATGTGGCCCAGTGGTTAAGTGCTCCTGGATTCAACCCCCCCCCCCAAAAAAAAAAAAAAAAAACAAAAAAACCCCAACAAAACAAAACCCAAAAAACCCAAAAATATTTAGGCTATTCAGATGGAAGAAATTGTGTTTTGTTCTATGTCCTCTAATCTAGGGAAACTTAATATGCACATGAATAATCCATGGATCATTAAATGAAGATTCCAATATAGTAAAACCAGGTGAGGACTGAAATTCTGCAGCGCTAACAAGCTCCCAGGTGATGCTGGTGTTGCTTTTCTAAGGATTATAATTGCAGTAGCAAGCCTGTAGACAAATATCTTGATCTTTATCTTTTACATTTTCAGATAGGGGTATAGTATGTAGAGCTTATTTATTTGGATATTTTGATTTAGAAGTTGGAAAGACATCATCACCCACTATGAGATGTATGAGTCTTCTATGTGAAAAAACATGAAAAACATATTTTCTGGCTTCTAAGGTGTGTGATAACTATCTAGGACAGGAATGACCACTATGTTTTTACTCTTTTCAGTCTATTCACTTGGTAGTGACTCCTTGATATGAGGCATTATAAGAATTCTTAGATCTCAGGAGAACTTGGTGGTAAGGACTACTAGGAGCAGAAAAACAATGGGGGAAGGTGATAGCACGGTTATTTGCCATCTTTGATCTGTATTAATCAGCTACCTTTATACTGGCATTCCTAAGAAAGGGAAGATGACTGTGATGTTTGCTATTTATAATACCTTTATAATTGAGCAAGTAAAATGTTGATTATGGACAATCCAGGTTAGATTTCAGATTACTTCTGTGTACATTGGGTCTGAGGTGATGGCCAAGATTACAAAGCAATTTTTGTCTACAGTAGCTTTGGGAAATCATGTAAAATATAATTAACTATTTTTCACTGTATTTCTTTATAAAGATGCTGCTGCTGACCTTGGTCAGCTCCTGTAAATGAGGCAACAGAAGAGACTGGCATATGAGGAACTTTGTATGTTGCTCACATCTAAAAACTGTTAATTAGTTTCTGATTCTGGTCCATTTGCAGAACTTTCTTTGTGATTCCTTCTAACCAACTCTGACCACAAGTTCTGCTCCATTGGTCCAGCAGAAATGCTTCTTTGAGGTAGTCTCAAAGTTGTGCCTTCTATAGTACCATGGTTGGTGTTGGTTGACCTGGCAATTTCAATGTAGGTGTTATGTGGGTCTATTTTCTGATAGGACCTTCAATGTCAGGATCTGTTGTAGATTCTGCTAGTGCAGAAACTTTTAGTTCATCTATAGTGGCCAAATACTCTGGAACTGATTTGTATTAGACAAAATCACAAGTCCTCCTAAATTCCTTCTAGAACAAGTGGAGATGGGATGAAGTGGGAGCCTCAATCTGTGTCTAGACTGTGACTTTAGGATATAGAAGTAGGTGGTGCTGTGGGCTGTGGCTTCAGAGAAAATAGTCATAGGAAGTACCCCGAGCAAGACCAGTCAAGGTCAAACAGTCAGATCTGAGGACAACAAATAAGGTGGTAAAAATTGAATTTTGGAACTGGAGTTCAGCTGTGTACTTTGAAGGAAGTAAGACGTGAGTTTTGTAAGGGTTCAGAGCCTGCTTGGCATTTTGAAACTGATCATGAGCCAGAATGCTAGCTTATTATTTCAGTGGAAAAATGACAGCATGAGAACTGTGATCA